TGTGTCACAGTTGGATGGGACTTTGCTCTGGGCATGAAAATTATGTCGTTATTCACGAATTGTCGTTATATCTGTAGTCGTTATTAGCGAAGTTGACTGTAATATTGTGTGTTTGTGTTTTGCCTTAGACATCGATGAGTGTAGTGATGGTAGTCTTCACGACTGTCATAGAAATGCAAGATGCACAGATACCGTCGGCTCATATACATGTCACTGCAATACTGGCTACGAGGGGAATGGAACAATTTGCAGACGTAAGGGCTTTGCTGCCGTCTTTGTTTTGCTGCACAGTACTTTTAAGTTCTTGTACTCGTATGGTGTAGCGTAGATGATGTAACTCTATACATTATAAGCTTGGACTGCGAGAATGCCATGATATTCGCTACTGTAGAGACACACACACACACACACACACACACACACACACACACACACACACACACACACACACACACACTTCCTCTACCATCACAATGTGCTACCTCTCCCACCTAAACATTTCGCGTTTCACGTCATACTCAGTCAGATTGAGCTTTCCTCATCCGTAGGAACACCACCACATAGAAAGGGGAAGCTAAGCGAAGACGAATTGTGACCAACCGAAACGCCAACGTCCTACTGAACTCCAGTATGATGTAAAAGATATGATGGACTAGCTAATAGTTATGTACAATAACAAGTAGCATAGTTCCACACGACGTACATTTCACCGTATAGGTCATAACAGCTCATCAGGTGTACACAGTTGTCAGTTTTGTGCCATTTTGTCGCACTCGCTGACTGTATAATTATGATCTGATTATGTTGGTGGACGGTTATTCATAACTCGTAACATTTCTGTCCTCCTTTTCTTCCATAATTAAATTGGCTCACCATCCGAGTTCAACTTTGTACACCTCATGAGCCGTCATGTACTTACGTGTACGTCTTATGGAAATTCGGTACTTGTTATTGTACATAACTAGTCCATCATCATATTATTTACATCATAGTGGAGTTCAGTAGGATTTTGGCGTTTCAGATAATCATCCCTTCGCTTAGCCTCCCCTTTCTATGTGTATTACATAAGCCTGAACCTCCCAAGTTGGGTGGTCTGTTGCTTTGCGTCGTCGAGTTGTAGCGAGACCAGTATGTCCAATAGTCTTACTAATTTCATCATCATGCAGTAACTTTCGGTATTCTTTGTTGCCATGTCCAATAGTCTTACTAATTTCATCATCATGCAGTAACTTTCGGCATTCTTTGTTGCCATGGGCTGTAGCTCGTGCTCTTCTACGTTGCTTTTCCTTCCCCTCTTGGACCTTTCCTAACCTGAACCTTCCAAGTGCGAAGGTTGTTGGTTTGCGCCTTGGAGAAGTGTTGGAGCTAGGTGTCAGGTCATTGAATGTCTCAGTACTCCTGGTCAGTTTTGTGCCAGTTTGTCGCACTCACTGACTGTATATGATCTGGTTTCGTTGGTGGACAGTTAGTCATAACTCGTAACCATTGTGTTCTGCTTGCTCTTTCCTTTGCGTTCGTGTTTTTATGACTCTTGATTTCACAATCTATTTCTTTTTGCCCGTACAAGAGGCTTCAGTAGTAGTAAAAGAGGTCATTCGAGCGTAAAGAGTAGTTCTTTACTATATGAAGTTCATCCACCATACATAGAGGGCAACACGCGGAATACAAAGACAGAAGAACGAGACGTTGCTGCTTCGTAACTCTGAGTTTCACGAACTAAATCTATCATCAGACGGAAAACTTCTTTTCTTTCAGTATGAAATAATTGTTGATTCTACATAGGACTCTATCAACAGTAACGTTTCTAACATGGCATTAATGGCATCGTTGTATTTTGGTTTCTGTGCTTCATCTTCATTGCAGTTGGCGATCTACTTGCCAGCGCCACTCGTGAAAAGGTCCCCCCTGGCGCAGGGAAATTACAAGAAGGTCACCTTAGCAGCGCGGAAAATCTACTGGTGACTCTGGGTTGGGGCCACCTGCTCCTGCTCACTGTTTCCCAACAGTTTTTGGTATAGTCTCTCCGTGGCTTAGGTCAGGGCTACCTTGCAATGTATTTTCTCAGTATTTTGGTTACATTCTTGCCCCAAGTTCTAGTGGCCTATTACTAGTGGCCATGCCTATTACTTTGATCTTGTAATGCATACATAAGTATGCTTGATTGAAATAGAGACTTTCCCATCACTGTTTACTATGCAATGGTTCTGAAGACCTTTCAAGGCAGTCTTACCGTGTATTGTATTGTATTGTATTCGACTATTCGTATTTATTCAGAGTGGCAGCCAAAACAGGCCAAAATGGCCTAATGACAATGGCACTACTGTAGAGAAGCGAGTGAAGAGGAGAGCATTCGTCTAGGGATTGTGTTGAATCTTTTACACAACCTTGTTACATCTGCGGCCTTGAGTTTCTTTGGATTGACGTTAGACTATTTCAAATTTTCATTTTGATTTCATCACCGAGTTTCATCCCTTGTATCAGTTTGGTGTTCTTCCTTCTTCCCGGCATGTCGTATACTATACTATTGTCTGAATAAACCCGTTTTGAGAAAGTGAAGAGGAGATGACAAACCAGAAGTACAAGAGATTCAAAGAACGATGGTGCTTTATCAGATGGCATCTTGCCCCGACGGCCTTCCTAGTTCTCTACAAAGGTGATGTCCGCCCGGCTCTGAAACATGCCACCTCAGCCTGGTCATACCCTTCCAATGCCGAACTGGAGAGTTTAAAGCATCTTGCAAGCTAGAGTAGCTAGGTTGATATTTGTACTGTGTACTGTTGAGGCAACGAACTGAAATAAATAAAAAAACAACCAAGCCGACCAACCAGGAGGTTGTACAGTACTGAGTACGAAAGTCACAGTAGATGTATATGAAACAAAATCACCGGAGGACAGATGAGGGTTAACCCAGACGACACTTGTACTTAGCATTCACTAGAGCTGAGGGTCACTCCAGCTGTGCATTATTGTTATTATTTTATGGTGAAAAAAGAAGGACAAAATGTGACGAGTTATGACTAACTGTCCACCAACGTAACCAGATCTTATACAGTCAGCTTTGTTGGTGGACAGTTAGTCATAACTCGTAACATTTTTGAACTCGGATGGTGAGCCAATAAAAAAAGATGAAGAAAGGAAAAGGTCCTTCCCCTCTTGGACCTTTCCGAACCTGAGCCTTCCAAGTTGGAAGGTTGTTGGTTTGCGCCTTGGAGAAGTGTTGGAGCTAGGTGTCAGGTCGCCGAATGTCTCATTACTCCTTGTCAGTTTTGTGCCATTTTGTCGCACTCGCTGACTGTATAAGATCTGGTTACGTTGGTGGACAGTTTGTCATAACTCGTAACATTTTGTCCTTTTCCTTTCTTCATCGTAACATTTTGTCCTTCTTTTCTCACCATAATTTAATTGGCACACCATCCGAGTTATTATTATTTATTCATATTTTAACAGGGCAATCCCCACAGACTCAAGGTCTTCTTACGGGGTACCCTGAATGAAAGTAATGCATGGCGAAATAGGGATGGCGATGCAGCAGTGCGGATATCAGATGGAGCGCTATTCCATCTGTCTGCAGCCAAATAGGTAAGAGGAAACAAACCGTAGTGTGAATAAACTCGAGGTAGAACAAGACCATTGGAGGAGTGAAGGCGGGTCCTACATTGCAAAGTGTTAGCTGCTGAAGAACGAAGTACAAAGAGGTCCCGAAGAAGGACACTGGTCTGACCTAAGACTCAACTGAAAACAATAATTGTGTATAATTTTAAACTGAAGCGGACTGAAATTGGCAGTAAGGAGAAGCGTGCAAGAATTGGGGCTGAATGGGAGGACGAGGGGTAACCAAACACTATCCGTAATGCAGGTTTACTGATCTTGATCAGGTTATCAGAGGTTATGCGATAACGTCTAATCCGCCATATATAGGAGCCATTTGGGGTGGCAAAATGCCCAAAGCGGGTACAGAAACCCCTTATATAGAAGAATTTGGGGTGGCAAACGTACTATATGTCAGACATGTATCGCATAACCTCAGGTTATGCGATACATGTCATATAGTACGTTTGCCACCCCAAATTCTTCTATATAAGGGGTTTCTGTACCCGCTTTGGGCATTTTGCCACCCCAAATGGCTCCTATATATGGCGGATTAGACGTTATCGCATAACCTCTGTGGTGCGAAGACAGTGTACATTATGCATTACTCGCATACTCAAGAGTGGATTGTATGAAGGATACGTAGAACGTATGTTTAGCTGGGGTTGTCAGGGGGCGACGTGTTCTGTACATGGTGCTTAGCTTGCGGCCAACTTTCCTCCGGAGGGCTGCAACTTGTAGTTTAAAGGACAGCTGTTCATCGATGATCAAGCCAAGGTATTTTACTGTCAAGGCTGAGGAAATATAAATGCCGTTGAGCATTAGGGGACGGCTAACGGGAGTGCATCTGCGCCTTTGATCCTAGAGGGTGGTGGCGTTCCCACGGCGGATGCGGAAAACTCGGCGCGAACCGTGAATTTTTTTAACGGGAGTGGTCGGAGTGCGGATATGCATGTATTCCGTCTTTGCGGTATTGAGTTTGAGACCACGCTCAGAGAGGTAATAGGCAACGTTAGCAATGTCTCTTTCCAAGGTAACTGCGGCTTGCTCTGCACATGCATTGGCAGCGTATAGTGTAGTATCATCTGCATACAGCAACGTTATGTGGTCGACTGATTAACATGGCAGGGCAGGGAGCGGGGTGTAGATCGTGAGTAGTAGTGGTCCCAGGACGGACCATTGTGGGACGCCACGGCTGCAGTGGTATGGCTCACCTCGGGAAGACTGGGGAGTTACGACTCTCTGGGTTCGGTCAGCCAGGTTGCTCCGAAACCAGGAGAGAACTGTGTCTCCAAGGCCACAATCATAGTTCAGAGACTAGACGTGTGTGATCTACACAGTCAAACGCTTTACTTAGATCAAGGAATGCAGCTGCTACGCTCTGGCCTTTATCTAGACACCTGTGCCAACGATCGACACAGAGGGTGAGAGCATCCTCGCAGGAGTGGGAACGCCTTTATGCAAATTGTTGAGGCGGTAAAAGATCAGGCTCAGATTCAATATTATGTCTGCAGCTGTTCGTAGACAACGCGCTCCAATATCTTCGATGCCACAGGCAATAGGGATATCGGACGGTAATTGCTTGCCTGGGTGCGATCTCCTTTCTTGAACATTGGGCAGATGTCTGCTGATTTGAAGCCCGTGGGGAATTGTCCTTTTTGAAGAGACTCGTTGACGATAGTAGTGAGGGAACTAGCGATGAGTCTGGGCTGGTGACCTGCGCTTCAAATACCGTGGTCAAGGCAGACGTGTCGACGGGAAGAGTAGCTGGGGACTTATCACATTGGAACAGTTGGACACCAGAAAAGCCACTGTGAGTGATGATATTCCAGCAAGTCTCCTCCAGATGCATGCTGACATCCTGGCACCGTCACTCACGCTACTATTTAATAAGTCATTGAGAGAAGGACAGTTTCCTGCGGCAATGAAGGTGGGTAAGATACGGCCTCTGTTCAAGGCTGGAGACCCCAGCCAACCCAAGAATTACCGACCAGTCTCCCTATTGCCGATAGTGTCGAAAGTGCTTGAACGTATTGTTCATAAGCAGCTTCTGCAGTACCTCAACACGAACAATTTCTTGCCTACTAGTCAGTTTGGTTACAGACACCAGCATTCCACAGCAGATGCCTTAGCGCTAGCTGTAGAGAACATCAATGAAGCACAAGCCGCTGGGCAGCACACAGGAGTAGCATTTGTCGACATGTCTAAAGCTTTCGACAAGGTAAAGCATAGCATTCTGGTTGAGGACCTCTTTGAACTGGGTCTCACTAGCACTGATTTGCAATGGTTTTCAGACTACTTGATGTATCGCCGGCAATACGTGGAGACAGGAAAAACCAGAAGTACAACTTATGACAGCCAGTCAGGGGTTCCTCAGGGGTCAGTTCTCGGACCTTTGCTCTTCGTTCTGTATGTGAGGGGTATTGCCGGCGACCTTGCCCCTCATGACGTCACCACTATTCAGTTTGCTGATGACATCTCGCTGCGTGCGAGCAGTCCACAGCCAGAAGTTGTCTCCCAGCGCCTCACTGCAGCAGTTCAGTACCTGGCCACTTGGTTGAAGAAACGTGGACTGATCCTTAACGAGACCAAGACGCAGATACTCGCCATACCACACCATAGAGCTGCAGCCCTCGACATCAATGTTGTATGCAATTCACAAGTCCTACCAGTAGTCACATCTGCCAAATACCTTGGCCTGCATTTTGACTCGGACATGAGTTGGACCACAATGGTGGACCATGTTGCTCGTCGTGTTGCCGGCAAAATTGCTGTCCTGCTGCGACATGCTTCCTCGCTGCCGTATCCATGCCGACTCACCTACTTCAGATCTATCGTTTTGCCTGAATTTTTGTATGCTTCTATTAGTTACTACCCGTATTTGACAGTTGCCCAGGAACAACGGCTACATAGGCTGTTCAAACGTGCCGCTCGGGCAGTCTGCAAGTCGCCACCGTGGACCAGTACTGCTCCCCTGCTAAATCGAATGCATGTATGTGATCTACAGGTTTCTGTGCACTTGAATATGTTGTGTTTCATCTGGCGATGTTTGCATGATGCATGTAGCACCCTGTTTGAGTCCTTTTTTGCTGCCGTGCCCTCAACTCGCACTCGGGGAGGCCAAAGCAACTTGCTTGTGGTCCCACCTGCTAGCACTGCTCGTTCTGCTAAGCGCCTAACGCACGCTGGAGCCATTATGTGGAATAGATTGCCACCAGCAGCAAAATGTTCAAATAGGTATTTGGATTTTAAATCTCAAGCCTTGCAGTATATATTATCAGCGACATAGGTTTTCCAATGCTTACTGGATTGATATCTGTTCGTTGCAACCAACCTTCCGTCATTTTTTCCTTTCTCTTTTTCTCTTGTATCTACTTTTTTTTTTTTTTCTCCACAATATCCTTTAACATGTTATTCACAGTGGGTCCAATGTTATTAGGCATTTTGCCTGTTTTGATTTCCACTATAAATAAAGTATACAACAACAACAACAACAATCACGGCCTAAGAGGCGGTTCAGTACTTTCCACTGAGCATGTGCGTTTGAAGCATTCGTTGAGAACTGGCGGATGTAATAAGCTTCTCTCAGCCTACAGTTGAGAAGAGTTCCAGCGCGTCTGGCACCACGGAATTCTTGTCGCAGACGCTCGTCATTAGGATGCTTGCGCCACTTCCTGTGCAGGTGTTTGCGTTTAAGCAGCAGTGCGCGGAGCTCAGGTGCCATCCAAGGTGACGGCGGTGGGTGCGTGGAGTTGAACACTGATTTCATGGGGCAGTGCTTCTCAAGGGTGGCATGGAGAGTGGCAGTCCAGTACTGGGTCAGCTCATCCAGGGTCATGTCACTAACGTCACGCGAGGAAAGAGGCTGGCTGCAAGAAGTCAGGGCCGAAGCCGAAGGTGGGAGCCTCCTTA